AAAAAAGAATTGATTAAAAATTTTTTTTTTTTTCTCCAAATTTTCCGGCTTTTTTTTTTTATTTTTCAATTTATCTAATTTTTTAAACGTTTTGCATCGCATGCATGATAACAAAAGAAAAAAAAAAAAAAAAAAAAAGGAAAAAAAAAAAGGAAAAAGAAGGAAAGAAAATGCATCGATTTTTTAAAAAAAAACTTTTGTAACTAACTCTCTTAAGAAAAAAATATTTTGATTTTAAAATTTTGTTTATACTAGTTGATAAGATTTTATCATCGCAGTGTTACACCAGAAAAAAAAAATATCAAAAAGGAAAAAAAAAGAAAAATCATAAAAGGAAAATTCAATTGATAATATATTTTTTTTTTTATAGGTCATTACTTACTCGTTATGGATTATCAAAAATTATCCTCCTTCCGATATATAATTATAATTCCTTTTTTCCTTTGTCAAAAAAATATTTAAATTAATTCCTTTTTTGTTTCCTTTTTTTTAAAGAATGTAAGAATGCAAGAAGACAAAAAAAATATGCGTAATAAATTATTATTATTATTATTATTATTATTATATTGAAATTTAACTTTGACGACGAGGACGACAACGATGATGACGACGACGACAGTGAAATTCTTATTAAAAACTTTTTCCATCCACAATAACATTCTCTCTCTCTCTCTCTCTTACTCTTCCTACAATACACAAACACACTCTCTCTCTCTCTATCTCTCTCTCTTTCTCTTTCTCATAACAATTTTAATGACAATAAAATCTTTTATTTTATTTTAAAACAATCCGAATTGATTTATTATTATTTTATCAGATTTAAATTTTCATAAAATATTTTACTAATAAAAATAAACGTAAATAAATAAATAATGATAATAATGATAATGATAATAATAATAATGATAATAATTTCGTGTAATAAATATCGATACCGAGAGGATTTTCATACATTCATTCGAATTATGAATTATTTTATGAAAAATTTTAAAAAAAAAAAACCAATAACTGGGTTTTCCGGTTTATGCAACGTGTTATGAAAAAACAATTTGATAATAATAATAATAATAATAATAATAATGTAATAAATTTATGAAAATTTAGATTTTTTTAACCGAAAAAAAAATTAAATTAAATTAAAACACACTTTTTACGAATTTATTTATTTTGGTAAAAAGAAAAGAAAAATTGAAATTTTCTATTGACACGTGAAAAAATAAAAAATAAATAAAACTAAACGATATTTAAAATAAATTTTTTTTTTTTTGAGATAAAGTTTGATAAAAATAAAAGATTTGTTAGATGAAACTCACCGAAAACTTTAAAGAAAAAAAGAAAACCGTACGAAAAAAATAAATAGAAAATCGAAAACTATATAACCCGTGATTATAAAATAACCACAATGAATTATCACAAAACCACTTGCTGGAGTTAAAATAAGGCAAATGAGAATTGATGTGATTTAACGTATAGAAAAAGAAACGGTAAAAGAAAAAAAGAGAGAGAGAGAAAGAGAGAGGAGAAAAAAGAATGAGACAAGTGAGAAAGTGAATGAAAAAAAGGGGGAGATAAAAATGGGAGAAAAAAAAAAAAAGAAAAATTGAAAGGAGATGGAACGTTTGAAAATAAAAGAAAAGAGTGAGAAAGAAAAGAAAATGCTGGAGAAGTAGATAGAGAGAAAGAGAAAGAAAGAAAAAGAAAAAAGTTAAAAAAAAAAAGAAAGAAAAAAAAAGAGAAAAAATGAAGAAATCCAGAAAAGAAAACGGGCACGCGTTCCAGTAATAACAAACTTGATTGCGCAAGCTTCGGAAAAAGTTTTTTGAAAAAGATGCTTTAAAAGGGAAGTAGAAGTAGATGAAGATGAAGGGGAACTGGAACTCTCTGGAAAAAATAGGGAGTTGTAAAAGGTAAAATCAATAACTCATACAGTCGCGTTTTTAAGTTTTTCTTTTTTTTTTTTTCTTTTTTCTTTTTCTTTTTGACTACCTTTCATCTTTCTCTTTTGAAAATTTCCCTCCGGCCCTTCTCCAGCTGATTTTCTTTTCTTCTTTTTACTTTTTCTTCTCCTCTTTTTTTTTTTTTTTCTACAAGCTTTTCTATTATCGGTTTACGAATAAATCTTTGTTGGAAAAACTTTAAGGAAAACGAGTGAGACGTACGTTTTTTTTTTTTTCCCGAAAAAAAAAAAAACTTTCCCTCAAATGCGACAAAAACTTTTCTTTTTTTTTTTTTCCTTTTTGCGTTTTCTTAACACGTTTTTTTTTAACATTGAAAATCCGTTTGTCGCGTTTTTACAAAAAAAAAATTATTTATTTTTGTTTCCCCCACGTTAAAAACGTTTTCTTTTTTGTTTATGTTTTTTTTTAAAAATAAAAATAAATAAATAAATCAAATTCTTACTTGATCTAAATATGTACCTGTGGGCCTGTTTATTTATACATGCCCAATTATTATTAATTTCATAATATTTATGACGTCATAAATTAATAATCAAAATTATTTTTTTTTAATTTCACTCGTGACGACATATTTTTTTTTAATTTGACATTAATAAATTTAATTTATCAATAACTATTATCATTATTATCTTTATAATTTAACGAATAATAAAAAAAAATATTCATGTATATCAAATCGTTAAATAATAATAATAATTAATTAATGTAAACGATTATTATTAATAATTCACAATTAAATTAAAAAAAAATAAAAAAATTTTTTTTTATTGTTAACCAATTTCGATAATTAAAAACTCTCGTTCGCACTTTTAAAAAAATAAATAATAATAATAATAAAAATAACGATAAAGCACACGTGAATTTACGTATAACTCATATGATTTACGTATAACATTAAACAATAAATAAATAAATAAATAAATATAAACATTAAGCGTGTATGAAATGCGTGTACGTATTTTATTACGATAAGAATCGTTGAAACAACCGGGTGAAAGCAATTCGCTGTCAAAACATGTAAGATAAAAGTTGGACTAAAAGTTTGAACGAGAGAGTTGATATAGAGGGTAAGAGGGAAAGAAGGCGACGAAAGCTCGACACAGTGCGAGCAAGAAATAAAGATGACTGGAGAAAGTTAGGAAAAACTTATAGAGAGAAAGAGAAAGAGAGAGAGAGAGAGACAAGATAGTCGTCCGTTTTTGATTTCATAATAATATAAATTTTATTATTTATATGGAAAAAATTGGAATCAATTGAGTTTTGATAAAATGTTCCAACGATTCCCTAATTAATTTTTTTTTTTATTCAATCTCTCCCCCTTCCCCCCTCCCCAAAAAAAAAATTCCAAAATATTCAATCGAAAGGAAAGGAAAAAAAACTGCAATTCCAGTTTCTAGTAAAGTGAAAACACCGAGGGGGGGGAGGAGTATGGAGAAAAGAGAAAGATGGAGAAAAAGAGAGAGAAAGAGAGAGAGAGAGAGAGAAATGACGACGAAAGTGGCGAAGGAAATCAAATCGTTGTATAAAAACTTTTATATGGATTTTGTAAGTTAGTTGTTTTGAGAAGACAAACAACAATAGAGCGAGGAAGATGAAGTATTGAACTTTTGAATTACTTTTTTAAACAAGGAAATCTAGTAATTAAAATTAAAATTGCTTTTAAGTTTATCTTTATTAAATACTTTTATACAAGTAAAAAAAAAAAAACAATTTTTTTTTTTTACTTGAAAAGAGGAAAAATCGAAACATAAAACGCATTTTATTTTTTTCCCGTTAAAATTTAAATTATGTTGCGAATAACTACGTAATTTAATTTAAATATATGTCAAACAATTTTTTAATTTTTTCCTTTGTTCCTAAGATAAATATTAATGCATCAAAAAATAAAAAAATAAAAATTTATTAATTAATTTTAAACATTTATTCATTAATAAAATTAATTAATTACGAAAACAAAATGGCGGATGATGATTAAATGATCGCGAATATGTATTTTTTTTGCTAATGTTTTAATTACACGTTTTTATTTTTATAAATGGTCACCTTTAACAACATTTAAAAATGTGATTTTGTTTTTTTTAAATAATAATAATAATAATAAAAACATGGTGTAATTATATTGAATATTTTTTTTTAAATGTAAAAAATGTACGTTTGTCGCCATTTTATAACGAAATCATGTTTTTATTTTGCATATTTACTGTTTCAAAAATTTGGCGCGAAATATTTGCGGTAATCAAAATTTTAATAGCAAGGGGGTGCCAACTGAATGAGAATAAAATAAAAATCACCGCATGTATTTTTTAACATAAGCTAAACACTGTATTAGTATATTCGGATGTAATTTCGTTTACGACGCTCCCGCTCTGTTATGTAGGTTTTAGAGCTTGATGCATTTTGTCATAACTCGTTAAATGACTTTTCCAAAGTATTTTATTTATTAATCATGTCAAATTTAAAATTGGATAAAGAAGCGTTTTCTAGAAGAATTAAAAAATTTTTTCTTGCTTGGAAGGTTAGTTATATATATTTTTATAACAATTTTTTAAGCATGGTGTTTATTCATTCTGAACGGTTTATATACACAGACACACATTGAAATTTATATATTACTTACCCTTATATATATATATCCTTGTTAGTTCACACTATTTTTAAAATAAAAATTAAACACTTGTTTTATTTTTAATCACTTCGCACAATTTTTTTAAACACTACTAACTAATTTCTTATTTAAATCACAAAATTTTTCTTAAAAGTTAAATAGGTTATATCCAATGTTTCTAATGACAGGTTGCGGCTAATTCAAAATAACAATTTACACTGATGTTTTATGTTTTATGTTTGATGTTAACTAAAACCACTCTTTGTTTTGACGTATATAAACGTTTTATTGTAAAATTTGTTTTCTCTCATTATTTTATTTTAAAATTTAAAAAGTTAAATAATTTTTTAAATTCAAGTTAGATTTTATAATGATTTTTTTTTCAATATTTTGTTTAGAATAATGTTGAAAATGGAAATGATGTGGGATTTCCAAAAATGGATGCTCATGTCTCTTTTGTAGGAGCAGAAGATGATATGCCATACACAAAATCAGCAGCACTTCAAATATGGCTTTTAGGATATGAATTAAGAGATACAATTTTAGTCATAACTAACCAAGCAGTTTTTTTTTTAGCGAGTAAAAAAAAAATTGATTTTTTAAAACAAATTGAAAATAATGAAAGTGATGGAGATGTACCACCAATTAAACTTTTGATTCGAGAAAAGGTGTGTGATGTTAAAAAATTTAGTGTTGGTATATTTTTAGTTTTGTTATGTTATGTTAATGCACAATAAGATTTTTTTTATTTGTTATTAAATAGGGTGATGAAGATCGAGCAAATATGGAAAAGTTAGTAGAAGAAATTAAAAAAAGTAACAATGGTAAAGTTCTAGGTGTTTTTATGAAAGATAATTATATTGGACCTTTTGTCGATTCATGGAAAAATGTACTTAAAAAAAATAATTTTGAAAATGTAAGTTGAAAATTAATCGTCATTGAATTTCCTACATTTTACTTTAATAATTTATTATTATTATTATTATCACAGGTTGATATGAGTGCTGCATTTGCTTTATTGAGCTCTCCCAAAGATGATGTTGAATTATCGTGCATTAAAAAATCGAGTATGGTGTCAGTAGATGTTTTCAATAAATACTTAAAAGATCAAATTCTTGACATTATTGATTCGGAAAAGGTTTTTTTCTTTTTTTACTATTCTTTAATTTTGAATTGTAAATATAAAAATTACTCTACATTATTTATTTTTAAAATTTTTGTGCTTTTAGAAAGTCAAACATAAAACTCTTGCAGAAGGGGTTGAAAATGCAATTTCTGATAAAAAATATGTAACAGGAGTAGATACGTCTCAGGTGGAAATTTGTTATCCTGCTATTATTCAAAGTGGTGGAAATTATAATTTAAAATTCAGTATTATGAGGTACATATTTTTTTTTGTTCAGCATTATTATATTTTAAATAAGATTTTAAAGTATTGAAAAAAAAAAATTTTTTTCTCTAATAGTGATAAAAACATATTACATTTTGGAGTTATTATTTGTTCGCTGGGTGCTCGATACAAATCTTATTGTTCAAATATAGTACGCACACTATTAGTAAATCCAACGGATGTTGTTAAGGATAATTATGAGTTTTTAGTCGAATTAGAAGAAGAATTAGTTAAAAATTTAAAGGCTGGTACGAAAATATGTGATGTTTACGAATCCGGTGTGGCTTTTGTTAAAAGTAAAAAATCCGATTTGCTCGGGGGAATGAATAAAAATTTTGGATTCGGAATGGGTATCGAATTTAGGGAAAGTTCGTTACTCATTTCGCCTAAAACCACGACCGTTTTAAAAAAAGGAATGGTTTTCAATTTGAACGTCGGTTTTTCTGGTCTCACGAATAAAGATGCGACTGATAAAGAAGGGAAAACCTACGCCCTGTTTATCGGGGATACGGTTTGCGTCAATGAGGTTTTTTTAAATTTTTCTCATCATTTTTTCTTCATTATTAAAAATGTCAGAAAAAAAGTTTAAATTAAACTTTTTTTTTTTTTTTTATAAATAAAGGATGGTCCGGCAACCGTTTATACAAATTCAAAGAAAAAAATCAAAAATATTGGTATATTTTTAAAAGATGATGATGACGAAGAAGAAGAAGAGGAAGAGGAAAAAGAAAATGAACCGATATCGAAAAATTTAACTCGGAGAGGAAGAAGAACAGCCGTTTTAGATTTTAAATTGAGGGTTTGCATTGAATTATTTAATAATATTTCGATATTATTATTATTTTAATAATAATAATATTAATATTAACTTCTTTTTAATAGCAAGACACTTCGGCGGAAGAAAAAAGAAAGCAACATCAAAAAGAATTAGCATTTCAATTGCATGAAAAGGCAAAACAACGTTTGGCTCAACAATCCGGAGGTCAACAATTACAAAAAGCAAGGAAAAGTACCATCTCTTATAAAAATAGGAGTCAAATGCCGGATGAACCCGAAGTTAGAGAATTGAGAATATTTGTCGGTAAATATTTAAATATATACGTAAATAAAAAATTTTTGATTAAAGGATAATGATTATAAAATTATTATTTGTTTGATTGTTCATTGATTGCATTTTTTGCTTTCAGATAAAAAATACGAAACGGTTATATTACCGTGTTATGGTCTTCCAGTGCCATTCCATATATCCACGATAAAAAACATATCTCAAAGCGTCGAAGGGGATTACACGTATTTAAGAATTAACTTTTTCCATCCTGGAGCGACCATGGGTAAAGAAGGAGGTGCTTACCAACAGCCGGATGCTACTTTTTTAAAAGAAATGTTTGTAATTTTTATTTTCGTTTTCATCGAGTCGTTCCCTGGGGAGGGGGGGGGCGGCGGCGATAAACCCTTTGTGAAAGCAGTAAAAATATAATTAATCTTTTTTTTTTTTTTCTGTTTAGCACTTACCGTAGTTCGAATACAAAAGAACCGGGTGAACAAACGACGCCTTCTTCAAATTTAAATAACGCATTTAGATTAATTAAAGAAGTTCAAAAAAAATTCAAAAGTCGAGAGGCCGAAGAACGGGAAAAAGAAGATTTAGTTAAACAGGATACGCTTATTCTATCGCAGAATAAGGGAAATCCAAAACTTAAAGATTTATACATTAGGCCGAATATCGTTTCTAAAAGAATGACTGGTTTGTATAACATTTTCTTCTACCATTTTCCGTTAGGCATCGGAAGAAATTTTAAAAAAAAAAAATTTGTTATTTTTTAATCTAGGTGTTTTAGAAGCTCACACGAACGGATTTCGATATACTAGCGTTAGAGGAGATAAAGTAGATATATTGTATAATAATATAAGAAATGCCTTTTTTCAACCTTGCGACGGTGAAATGATTATATTGCTACATTTCCATCTTAAACACGCAATTATGTTTGGTAAAAAAAAACATATTGATGTACAGTTTTTTACGGAAGTGGGAGAAATAACGACGGATTTGGGAAAACATCAACACATGCACGACAGAGATGATGTTGCTGCAGAACAAGCCGAGAGAGAACTTAGGCAAAAATTAAAGACTGCATTTAAAAGCTTTTGCGAAAAGGTTTTAAATTTTTTTTTTTTTTTTTTTTTTTGGTATTTTTAACATTCGAATCTTTTTAAATTCAAAAAAAACATTTTTTCTCTCATTTCAGATAGAAAATATGAAAACGGATGTAGAATTCGATACTCCGTTCAGAGATTTGGGATTTCCCGGAGTACCTTTCAGAAGTACCGTTTTACTTCAGCCTACTAGTGGATGCCTTGTTTCATTATCGGAATGGGTGAGTTTTATTATTGGAATAACGAATGTTCCCTAATTAAAAAATTTCAATTGTCTGAATTGGGTTAGTTCGACATCTTTAAAAAAAAAAATTTTTTTTTTTTTTTTTGTTTTTTTTTCAGCCGCCTTTTGTTATCACACTTGAAGATGTAGAATTAGTACATTTTGAGCGTGTTCAATTTCATTTGAAAAATTTCGACATGGTTTTCGTTTTTAAAGATTATAATAAAAAAACGGCCATGATCAATTCAATTCCCATGAATATGTTGGATCATGTTAAAGAATGGCTAAAGTAGGATTTTTGCGTTCATTTTTATTTTTTTTTATTTTTATTTTTATAATCTTTGTATTTGATTTTTTAGTTCTTGTGATATTCGTTACACCGAGGGTATCCAATCTCTTAATTGGGTAAAAATTATGAAAACGATTACGGATGATCCCGAAGGTTTTTTCGATAATGGCGGTTGGACCTTTTTGGACGCCGAATCCGATCCAGAAGACGCCGTAGACGATGAAGAAGAGGAAGAAGAAGATTATGAGGTTTTTATTTATTAAACTCTTTGAAATTTTTTTAAGTATTTAGTATATAAAAAAAAAAAAAAAAAAAAAATTGTTTTGTTTTTTTTTTTAAAGCCATCAGATTTAGATAGCGAAGGAGAAAGTGAAGATTCTGATTATTCAGAACTTTCGGAGGCGAGTGAAGACTCGGATTCTTATGGTATGTTTTTATGAAATTTTTTTTGAAATGTACGGTGACTTATTAAAAAAAAAATTTATGTAAATTTATTATTGCGCTTTTCAGCTAGTGATTTAGGAAGTTCGGAAGATTCCGGTAAAGATTGGTCCGATTTGGAGCGGGAAGCTGCGGAAGCCGATAGGGAAAACGATAATTTCGAAGATGAATACTCAAAAGGGAAAAAACGTGGAAGTTCATACAAGTAAATAAAAAATTTACCACATTTTATCGTTTTATTTATTTATTTATTTATTTATTATCATTATTAATAATTATTAAATTTTTTTTTTTTTTAGGGATAGGGAAAAAAGTAGTCACAAATCTTCTCCAATGAAAAGCAAGGATAGAGACAAAGATCGACATTCTTCAAAAAGTAGTAAGCACAGTCACTCGTCGAGTGGTCACAAATCGTCGTACAGCGATAAAAATCACAGGTGAGAAGATTAATTTCAGTAAAAGAGAGAGGAATAAAAATTGAATTTCCATAAAAAAAAAAAAAAAAATTTGATTTTGTTTCAGTTCATCAAAAAGCAGTAGCAGTAGTAAACACACATCCAGTTCGGGAGACAAACATAAATCATCTCATTACGACAAACACAAATCTTCTCACAGTGATAAGAAACGTTCTAGAGAGTCCGAAAGCAGTAAGGAAAGTCCCAAAAAGAAAAGCAAAAGAGGTTAAGGTGTTAAATTTGAAAAAAGGATAAAAGTGAGTTTTTCTTTTTTTTTTTTTTTTTTTTGATTAAGTAATAATAATAATAATTCTGTAAGTGAGTGAAATTATTCGATTGTTTTTTTAGTTATGAAATTTTTTTAAAAAAAAAAAAAAATAAAAGAAGTGAAAGTGAAAAAAGAAAAAGAAATGAGAATGCATATAAACTTTACACATTCCTTTGTTACCTTCTGCATTCTTATAAGCGGATTAAGAAGTGATCAACACTTTGATACTTACCTCGTTTATTTTTTAAAGTGAATCTTTTCTTTGACTGAATATTAATTAATTTAAAGTAATGGCATTTTTTTTTTTTCCTTTGTTAATAATACTATCAGTTGAAAAATTAATTTTTTTAAGTTCAGGTTATGTAAAAATATCGGGTAATGAGACTAAAAAAGAAAACGATTAAAGAAAAATAGAATTTTGAATGAGTTTACATAGTAGTAATGGTGCTGTCCTACTCTCAGGCAATTTTTTTTTTTTTATATATAAAAATATATGGAAGTGAAATTGCATTGTTTTTAATCGAAATATAAAAAGAAAAAAATTTTGTTTACTGTTTTTTTTTTTTTTTGTAGTAATATTATTATTATTATTATTTCTTTTCTTTTTTTTTTACTATTAAGGTTTTGATTGTTTAAATGTGTTTAAAAGAAAAAAAGTGAAAATTAATCAATTTTACAACTGTTTTGTAATACTGGTCGAATTTTTGTTGTAATGTGCGACTTAAAAAGTCCTAATAATTTGGTTATTTTTTCATCGGATTTTTTTTACTGTTTTTGTGTTTTTTTTTTTTTTTTTTTGTCTGATTTTTATTTAAATGACATCAATTAATAAGTAGTCTCATTAGTTATTATTATTTTCATCTTATAATTATTCATTTGTAATGTTATTAAATTAATAAAATAATTTTTGTTACTGTAACATGAATTTGATTTTTCTTTCGAAAAGTGTTACATCTTTTACATGTTTATTATTTAAAGACTGTACACTTTTTAAATGTTTTTTATTGGGATTTGATTAATGGAAGGTTTTTAAATGTTAAAATCTTGTTAACATCATAATGCTCACATCAAACTTGGTAACTGTAGTTTAAATTTTTTTTACAAACATTCACTCACCCGGTTTCTGCTTTACTTAATTTTAGTATTTGTAAAATTTATTATCGCCATTATTTTAGAGAGCTGTCTGATTCATTTTCAAGCTATGTCTTTTTACATACCAATATTAAAAAGCTCTAAATGCTTATAATTAATAATAATAACTGTTTAAAAGTTAAAGTAACCATTACCTACTACTACTTATCATCTATTACTTAAATTATTTGCTGTCTACAGTTAATCGACTTGAGTGTATTGTTTAATTTTAACTTATTCATAATAAATCTGTTGATATATTTTATATATTAAGTTTTGAATTACTGATGAAGTAAATTCATAATGTTTAAAAAAAATTGAAAAGGACACAATAATTATTATGGTTAAAATAATAATCCATAATAAAATACAAAAAAAAAAAAATTTTTAAGTTAAACTTATTAAAGATTTAGATTTTTTTATTTATTGAAAATACTCTTAATACGTTTACAATAAATGTTTATAAAATGTTTTCTTTTTCTTTCTTTTTTAACGACTTTACAAAAATATTTCCTTATAACACTAATAAAATGTAATTAAATTATTTTTATGTGCAACAAAGTATATATATATTAAATAATAGAGAAAAAAAAAAACCGGCATTTTTTCGTTCGAAAGTTGGCAGCACTATAGAAACATTTGTAGTTTTTAAAATGTCGGTCGGGTGAATGAATATTTCATTACAATTATTATTAATAAGTGAAAATTAAAATTTTTTTGTAAATGTGAAATATGTATTTAATTTAATTATTTATTTAAGACAGTTAAATTTATTATTTTAATATGACAGAGGTTGAACCGCCCCCGATTGGGGATATAAAACGTCCAGAGGAGGTTGTCGCAATGGCTATGAACGACAACCTCAAATTCGCTCTTTTGATAGGTTTGATTGAAGTTGGGCAAGTCTCCAACAGGGAAGTTGTAAATACTGTCCTGCATTTGGTGAGTTTAAAAAGATTTATTGTAGAAAATTTATATATTAGCCATGAATTATGATTACAATTATCAGAAACGGTAATAACATGAAAATTATCAGTATTATCACTTGCTGTTACAAGTGTACACGGTCACCACTTTTATTATTTGAAAATAATTTTTGATTTAAATCAAAACTAATCATGTTATTATCTATATAAATTTTCATCCAAGAGTTTTGATAAATATTGAAATTCTTATTTTTAATATGGAGAATTTTACAATAAAAAACATTTATAATGTAATAATAACAATCACAAAATGATTTCAAAGTATTTTTTTTGTGACACAAAGTAATTATTTTTACAACATTGCTTCTTTACAATGCATTCGATAATATCATTTTTAAATAGAATTTTCGATTGTTAATCGATAACAATTGATTTATGTAGCACAAAAAGGTTTACTAAATGACAAATGTAATATTTTAATTACAATCTCAAATTAGTTTTAAATGATTAATTTACATATAACTCTGTACTTATAATTTTATACACCAAACAATTTTAAGGGTTGTTGGTCCTGAAAAAATTTTTTCTTTTTGTTCAATCAATAATTACTTTTTTTTTTCGAAACAAACACTGTTTTCTTATTATAAAAGTTATTATTATTTTTTTCATTGGCTAAAAACATTTAAGAGAATTTTTTTTTATTTCCTCAATTGAACAGATTTAATGATGAAAAATAATTATACTTAATTAAATGATTTATTTTTCAATTTTGCTATAAAAATAGCAAAGGTGACAATTTTAGATAAGATATGACTTTATTTAATTTTTGATAAAAGTTTTAATCTACCTTAAATAAAATTTTACATTTGAAAAATAAATCATTCGTTTTAATTTATCCTTTTTTTTTTTTTTTTTTTTTTTTCGGTTTCAATTGTAAAATGTCGCTTTGTGTGCTTTTTGCTTTTTTTTTTTTTTTTTTTTATTGTTTTTCAATGGTTAAATGTTTTATTTGTAAAAAATCATTTTGTAAATTTAAAATAATTTGTTGTATTTACAAACTTTGCAATTCATTTTCATCAAAAATTCATTGTTATGAAACTAACCTTTGCTAAAAATTTTTCATTTTATGTATTTAATAATGAATATTTTACTACTTTGAAAATTTCACATTTTGTTTTAATAATAATAATAATAATGGTAGTGTAATTGTTTTGTTTGATGGGTTAAAAAAAAAAAAAATCACTTCATTTAAAAGTATAAAATAATAATAATAAATAAATAACGTTAATGTCTTTAAATCTAATTACATTGAAGCGTGATTTTTTTTTTTTTTTGAGAGAGATAGATAGAATGAGAGAGAGAGATAGGGAAAGAGAATTTTCCGATTATCTGGATATATATACACGTATATGAATTTTTTCCTTTTTAATCTTTTTTTTTTTTAGTGAATGAATGTTTAAAAAAAGAAAATAATGATAATAAAATTGTAAAAACCCCAGTCGAATAGAACTAGAAATGTCATTACTATCATTATTATTTTTTTGCTTGTTTGTTTGTTTGTTTGTTCGTCCGCTCGCTTGTAAAAACCGCAGATTCTGGACCGAAATAAAGAATACGTTTCGAAGCATCCATCATATCAAATAACTAATCGATTATTTGCAAATGGATACTCGATACTCTCTTGTGAGGTTTTTTTTTTTTTCCATAAAAAAACATTCGCAAAAAAAAAAAAAATTCGAAGCCTTTTCTCGTCGGTTGTCGCGGTTCGTAATCTTTTTAATATTATGTAGGGATGCTGTATGTTTTCATTTTTCTCTCAGTCATTGAACGCCTTTTTTTTTGCTTTTCAATTTTGAATTTTACCCGACGTAATAACTATTGTGAGTGATTCCCCCCCCCCTGTTTTTTTTTTTTTTTTTTTGAAAAACAACGTGCAATCTTTTTTGAATTATTATCATCATCATCCTTGTAAATTTTTTTTGTTTTTTGTTCTTTCATTTTCTCCCTAATCGATTTTTTTTTCAAATTTTATTTAATAAAAACCCTTCTTCTTCTTAGTAAGAGGAAAAATGGGGTAAGAGGGAGAGAGAGAGAGAGAGTGGAGGGGGTGGGGAAGGGGAGGGGGTTTTAAAAAAATATCAATCACTTAAAAAATTTAAATAAAAAAAAAACAAAAAAAATTGTTTTTACTTGTAAAATTTCAAAATGTTATCAAGTGCCCTTTTGTAAATTTAAAACTTGATGTCATTAACATGCAATCGGATCACTTAACTCTTAACATTAAAACTTTTTATTAGTTTTTTTTTTTTTTTTTTTTTTTCTATGCGATTGACAGTTTAAGTAAATAATCCCGTACGAATGTAAAAAAAGGAAAGCAGAATAAAAGATAAAAGATAAATAATAATAATGTTTTATTGATATTTTAGATATAAGCTTTCAATTAGTCGATTCAATTAACTAATTCGAAGCTCAAGTTAATTTTATTTTAAAAAAATTTTTTTGCTCTTAATAAGTTTTTTGCTTTTATTAATGTTTAAAAAATAAAAAAGTGAAAGAAATAAAAAAAATAGTTTCGCGGTGAATTATTTTAAAGTAATAAAAAAAAAAAAAAAAAAAAAAATTCGTGAATCGATACGATTGCAGAGATTATCGATCGATTTTCAATATATATTATAAATCGCGTTACATTTCCATAAGATAAAAAAAAAAATTTTCTTTTTGTTTTGTTTTTTTTTGTTTTTCCCCTCCATTGTGTGTGTGTTTGTTGTGTGTGGGTTTTATTTTACCCCCCATAAAAATTTATATAATTGATGAGATATACGTTGAATTGACAAGTTTTAAAATTATAACATTATAATAATATTGACGTCACTTAATGTTTTTCGAAATTTTTATATATGTTTAAGTGATTTTTAATAATGCGTGTATGTATGCGTTGTAAGAATACATTTATAAACGTTTGTCATTTGGCTTTTTACTTGTGAGGATGCGCGTTCAAGGTTTTCTTTTCCATTTCTTGCCTTCCGGTTGGTAATAATTGCGAGCCTTGATATTCATTTCATTTATTTATTTTTATTTATTTTTAAAATAATTCATTTCTTCTACTTCTCTTATTACGTAACATCACGAAAAATATTATTATTATTATTATTATCATGCGTGATTTAAAGGGGAGAAAGATTGCGTTTGGTTTATTTGCTATAAAATTTTTACCTTTGAAAAATAATCCGTCGATAAAAACATTGTAAATTATTTGTTGTTATTATTATTATTATTATCGTCGTTGTTTATTACTTTAAATAAAAATTTTATTTATTTATTTTTTTTATTGTTAATCGAACAATGTGAATTTATTGCTTTTTTTTCTCTCTCTACGTAAGTGAGACATTATTTCATGTTTTGTTTGTTTCGAACGAAATTGAAAATCAGGATGAAAGTTTTTTTTTTTTTTTTATTGCATTCGCGAGTTTTCTTTCTTTATTTTTTTATTTTTTATTTTTATTTTTATCAATACCTAACGTAATAATAATAATGATAAGTCGTCAGGAATAAAAATGAAATAAAAGTTTTTTTTTTTTTTTGATAATGATTTTCAAGACGTAAACTTCCAAATTTTTTCGTCATTCTTATCACGATTATTTATTATTTAATTTTCATAAGTAAAGAAATAAACGTGTCAGTAGTTAATTTAAAACACGATCGGAAAAGGTAGTTTTCTTTTTTAAAAAAAAAAAAAAAAAAAAAAAAAAACGTTCGAGCGAGTAAAATTATTTATTTATTTATTTTTAAAATAGTAAAAAAAAAAAAAAGGAAAGAAAAAAAATTTTCTGTTTTTTTTTTGTTTTTCTTTTCTTCCCCCCCCCCCCCTCGTTTTCAATTCAAATTTATTCGATACGTAGTAAAAGTATTTTTTTTAATATATTTTAAATATTCATTTGGCCTTTTCTTGTAAAAGAATGAATTTTCACAAGAGATACTCTCAAATTATTAAAAAAAAGGAAAAAAGGAAAAAGGGATAGGAAAGGAAAGGAAAATAAAGAATCATAAATAATGCACACATGACCACGACTTTAGTTTGCTTTTTCTTTCTCTCTCTCTCCCTTTTTTTTTTTAAAAAAATTATTATAAAAACTGAAGCAAATCATAAATTTATAACGTTTTTTAAATTTACAAATGGGTTTTTTAAAGAATAATAAAAAGGAAAAGAGAAAAAGGAAAAAAAAAAAAAAGGAAAATTTTTAAGAGTTCCCTTATGTATGAATTATTAATTTTACGGTTTTCCCTTCAACTTTTTTATTTTATTTTATTATAACTTATTAATATTATTTTGAATTTAAAATATGAATCGAATAATTATTTGGTTTTTTTTTTTTTAAATAATTTAACATAAAAAGGTTGAAAGAAACTTAAAAAAAGGTTTAAGATGAAATAAATGAATGAATGAAAAATGTGAATGTCGAACGAAAAATGTGGTGGAAAAAGAATTTAAAAAAAAAAAAAAAAATTTGGAAAACATTTTAATTATTTATTATTGTTTTTAATATATTCATTGATTGATTGATTGATTGATTGTTTTTTATTGTGATTATCGAATGGAAATTTTGTTTTAAATTAAAAAAAAGAAAAAAAAAGGAAGGTGAATTGTTTGTACAAAGTTCTTTAGTAATGCAAATATATCGATTGTTGTTGTTGTTGTTGTTGTTTTTTTTTTCTTTTTCGTAAGCATTAAAATCCTCTTTATTGTTTAACCCCGTGAGGATTTCCGGTCAGTGCTGCCACTATATATTTATAAAGAGAGATTATTTAAATTTTTATTTTTCCCAAAGCGTGGCAATATATATCTTGAATTTGTTTGTACGTATTCCTTATTCTCTCTCTTTTTTCCGCGTTTTAAAAAAAAAAAAAATTATAAAAAATTACACGATGAATCGATAGTGATGAACATAATAATAATAATAATAATAATTTTCAATTCGTTCGATTTTCAAGGAAAAAAAAAAGAAAAAAAATTTAAATTTATTTTATGCTTCATGATAATATTCGATATCGTTTGTATTTTTATTTTTATTTTGAGATTTATTCCTCATTTGAA